AAATAAGCCGGTGGACTGGGGATTGGAAAATGAAGTTGAGTGAAGCAAAATCGGTTCATATAAACTTTACCTATCCGAAAATAGTGAATCCACCACAAATTAACTTAAATGGAACGAACGTAACGATCCATAACCCAGCAAAATACCTAGGTATGATTTTAGATGTCAATCTAAGGTGGAAAGAGCATATAAAGAAGAAACAAATAGAATTAGAAAATAAATATAGAGAAAATTATTGGCTCTTAGACCGTAAGTCCAATTTGGCAATTGATAATAAGATATTGATTTATGGCCAAATCATTAAATCAAATTGGCTATATGGCATTCGAAAATGCACTAGCAATAAATCAAAATTTTGTCTTAGGCTTCTTACATTTTGGTGTACAATAAAAAACATGTTAGTATCAGAGAAAGATTCAAATACACTATAACAATTTAAGTCAAAACTATCACTATAACTTATATCAAACTCTAAATCTAAATTATTTTGTTGAAAAATCATACGTTTCATATAATTGTGCAACGCAGTCTTGTTCTTTGTAGATGTTCTCTATATTTATTTACCATGTGGCTTTTATAGGTCTTCAAATCATTAAGCACTTCTTTTTGCGAGATACCAATTTGTTCATGATTTTGAATATAAACATTACGAACCCTTACTAAGTCAGTTAGTTTTTCAATTTGTTAGTTTTATATTCTGAGATGTAGCAAATGTACTTTTGTTTCAATGCCTGAGTTCAATGTTTCGCTTTGTATCCAATTAGAATACTTTTTAAAATTTCTTTGGTAGTCTTACTTGTATTATTCATCGCTAGTTAGCATTTACAACATTGAAATTTCCATTACTACCATCATTCAAAATAATATTGCGCACATCAACATCATTATCGTTGTTGGTTTTATTTTTTCCATTTCCTTTTCTTGTTCTTTAGATATGCTTTCTAATCTTTCTATATAACAAAGCTCGATCGCTTGTAGAAGTTCTTTAACTTCTATTTTATTGTTCTTGAGTGCACTTTAGAATTCCTATTTGTATTCTTTGAGGTACTCCGAATTTTTTGTTACACTACGCTCCATACTCTGACAGATATTTCCCACATTCTGAATACACTGAATGCAGTCATCACAAATGAATTTGAGGCTTGGGTTACTATCCATAACTCTTAGTGCCGATTGGTCCAAACCACAATATTTCACTGTAATATGATAAACTTTTTCACATAACCCAACTCATAACCAACGCTTGCAGAAAAAATAACACACAAAAAGAAAACGAAAAAAACAATTTGCAGACAAAGACAAAAAGAAAACGAAAAAGTTAGTATTATGTATTCTAAATTCTGTACGATTTTCTGCGCAACTTATTAATTTTCGTTTTATTTTCATATTCTCATAAGTTGAACAAACTTTAGCTTAATATACAGCGTAAAGGATTACATGTGGACATTGTATAATAATTATTAATTTTTATAATGTATAGTTATACTATACATAGTAGGTTTTTGCAAACTAAATTAAATTAACAGAGAAATTAGTGCATGAATGAACACTTAAAGAAGAGAATAAAGTGAAATAATTATGTTACTTTTTTTATTGTTGTTGTAATTTATGAACTTTGGCAGCCAAAATGGTTTTGCGTTAATTTCATGCACTTGTGTTTATTTTATGTTAGAATAAAAAAAAATTTATGTGATATGCATGGTTATGCTTACATGTGTATAGTAAATAGCATTCAATTCGCTTGCAGATTAGGTGAACATAAAATTTTTAAACATTCTCATACATATTAGGTAAATAATGTAAGTAAAACAACATGATAGAAAGTAAAACAAAAATCATGAACATGCTGTAACTACATTATTAGGCAATAACTTAGATATCTGTTACAATTATGTTCCATTTTACATTTTTTGGTAATTTTTGCAAAGTACGATATTATAACATGTTAGTAAAATTTAAGTTGAAAACAGAACAAGAGTTAAAATTTTTAAAGATAATATGTTATATAAATGGGGCTGGCTAGAATGAAGGGAAATTACCGCAGTGGAGTTTGCCGTTGATGCTTAAATACCGTTTTTTTGGACATCATCGGTTTTATATGCAAAATACTGACACTTGATTTTGCCGCTTCGTTGCAGTATAGTAGTTTAAAATCGTCCGCCGCTGTCGTTTAGTTTTCCATTTATATAGAATATAATGTACATGTGACGAATATTGTAGTTCAATAAGAATGTATTTTTGCAGAGCGTGATATTCGTACCAAATATATTATACAGGTGTAAGAGTAAAACGCCATGACATACAGAACTGCAAGTATTTTGCACAATTTAAGTTCATGTTCATATCGAATTATTACTAAATGATTGATTACTGTTGGTATATGGATGCAAGTTTTTATTTTGCAAGTAAACGATTTATTAGCAAATCTATTTTTTAATTTTCCTTTCTTCATTGCATTATATATGTATTTATGCACATAACTTTAACATGTTGAGTCCCAATGAATCAGCCCATGCCCAACGGTGAGCACAAAAATAACTTTATTATATGAATATTTTTAAAATATCAAATTTTTTTTAAAGTTGAATAACTGGAAAAACAGGTTTAATTTCTTCTGTAGAAGAAAATACATACCTAATATTTTAAAGCTATTTAATTACATATTTAGTTTCTTTTCATTTAAGAATTTCACTTGTGATAGAGGGACTTTAATACAGGAGCTTTCACTTGTGTGGTAAATTTTTTTATGTACTAACTTTTTAAGATGTTGCAATACACAATGTATTGTTGTTTTTTGAATTATTTAAATTTTTAAAATATATGATAATGTGTTGTTGAATAAGAAAATCGATTAAATAACCAGGAAAAATTACTTCAAAAAATTCGTCTTTCGATGTCGTAATTGCCGGAGACAGATGCCTCTGGCGCCTCAAACATTCTAGTTATTAACAAAATCTAATTTATCAACCATTTAAATTTAAATATAAAAATCTATATAATAAGCCATTTATTTTAAATTAAAAAAAGGCTTTGCAATGAAATTTCACGGATGGACATGAAAATTTGAAACAATAAAAAAATTTACACGAATATTATCAATTTATCAAACATTATCGCAATGTTCAGTTAATGTTGGTCATTACTTTTAGATTACGTTGCTAGAAAGAGTGCTGCAACGTCTTCGCAATGTTTACTTTTTGATTATCTAAAAGATTTTAAAAACTGTATTTTGAATTTTTAACGTCTTTGATTTTATCCAATGTTCTTTGATGTTTATTGATTTATTTAAAAAAAAAACAAAATTTTGTTTTTAAATCAACAGATCATTATGAGTTATTATGAGTTGAATTATTACTTGTATGTACATATTATAATGTTCGTATGTGTGTTTGGTTTTTAATGAATTGCAAAAGGGTTTGCACATTTATAAATAAATATGTATATGTACATATCATATATTTGTATGATAATATTTTGTAAAAAAAGTGTGATATTAAATAAAATGCAAAACATTTTTTCTAAATGCGGAAAATGAGTTATTTGCTTACATACATAGTCATAAATTTTGTATGTATTTTTTATTTAAAATGAGAATACAGAGTAAAATGTTAGTATGTCAGTATATATTTATTGTATTACAAAGTAAAATCTCCTATGAATTGGAAATGCATTATTATTGTAACCAGTGATGTAGATGATAGTATCAAAAGAACTGTACAAGACTAAGGTATTTTCTTTAGCCCTATCTTGTTTACTTTTGTTATCGCCTTTTCTTTCTTATCTATGTTGCTTGTTTCATTTATTGTTGGTAGTTCTGTGCTTCTTCAGAATATCGGATTCGGAAGAAATTCTTCAGAATATATTACACAAATTTGGCTACATTTTCGCCATCCAACATTGTTGCATCCATCCCAAGGGCTTAATAATCCTATATCTGGTGCGTTGACTGTTGCTCATGACGAAACTCCATCCGTTAGCGGCCTGGTCCATCTCGTTGATGGTAGAAATTATTTTCCCCATTTGGACCTCGGATAGTTTCTCGTTGAAGTGCAAACCTTAAGCAGGTACCTCAACAGTTACGTTGAGGTACCACCGCTTACAGATAAGTGACATTTTTTGAATATTGTTGAGGAATGTTACCAAATACCTTTTTTTAACATGACCCTTCATCTACCTCTTTTTTAAAGGTTTTTAAAGATACCTGAAGTTTAACTGTGTGACGATTGTTCGTAACGATTGCTTCGTAGACCCTCAGCTTTTCCAGCCTCTTCTTTTCCTATTTTGGTGTCTTATATGGGAATATGCTGTTTCTGTTGCACACGTCTCTTGGAGGTACCAAAGAAATTGCTTTTCTTTCCGGGGAAGAAAATTTCCTACTCGGGTTTTTGTTCGAAACGTTTCATGGGACCCTGATTATCCGTTTCTCTAACTCCACATACGATGAGAAGGCATATGTTATTGCACCGTGACCGTGGCGCCTGTCGTAAGAGTAATTTTTGAATTTTAATTGTTTATACAGATCAACTATAGTAGACATATTAATTACATATTTTAACACTTGCTTAGCATCTGACACCGAGTTTTGTACTTAAAACTTTAAACACGGTAGTTCTAATATTCCATTTTAAATTCGGGGTATTATTATGATTAAATCTAATTTTTGGCAGAGTTAGTTGACTAATCGACAGTTATTTTCATTGCTACTTTCTTTAGAAATATGCGAAAAATATGTTAAACAAAATCAAACTAAGAACTACAAAAGGGATAAGCGATACACTTTTAATATGTACACTGTACAATACACGAGACAAACCCGGACATACATATTATATCCGGTTACTTCATTTCTTTTACTTGAAGTAAAATAATCCTACATTATAAATTTAAAACGGGTAATATCAATTTTTGTATTTTATTTTCTGTTATCGATATGCCATATTTAATTTTTATTTTCATATTGAATAGCTTATTTCATCATAAGATATCATGCGTTGCTTTTCATGATAGGTGATTATAATTTAAACGATGGCTAGTTGAATTACACTTAATTTAGTTTGCTGCTCTGCAATAACTAGATTCCGGATAGCCACACCATTGATCGTACTCATCCCACCATAATCCATCTGGACAACTTGTTAAAGCAGCCTTACCATGTATGCAAATAAAGTATTGTGTACAATTTGTTGGATGTGCAATGAATCGTTGCCGATCTGTCGGACATTCAGGTATAAAATCTTTTATAATGGTTGTAAGAAGCGAGGTTGTTTCAGAATTTTTAGTAGTTTTTATTGGAGGAGTTTTTTGTGTAACACGCCTGCGTTTAGTTGTACTTTTAAAGGAACTGTTTTCGTCAAAATAGCATTGTGCAAGCTGTTTGTAATCGCAACGTTCAGCTTTGTAGTTCCAATTTGCATCAATTCCGCAACTATGCAGATACATTACATGATTAGCACAAATAAAATATTTTTGGCATTGACCTGGGTGTGGTAAAAAGTACACTCCATTGTACAAGCATTGCACTTTTTTGGGATCATAAGTTTTCATGGGGTCCACATTTCTACCGTCTTCATCGGTTGACCCGATTGAAGAATTTTTTGGTTTCATTGTTGTTATTTTGAAATTCGGCGTTGTATTGCAATTTGTCGTACTTGCTGCAGCTGTTGTTTTAGATTTTGTTTCGATTGCAATACTTCTAATTTTTTTTGTAGAAATATTCGTTTTAAAAGAATGGTCAGTTGTCGAATATATTTCGTGGTTTTTTCCTTCTGTTTCTGGAAATATTGTTGAAACAACAGGCCTTGGTGAAGACTCCCAATATTGAGGATACTAAATAAAGGTTTTTAAAGAATTTTTATAAGAAATGAATAAATTTAATAAAATACTTACGTTCCCTAAAGTGCAATTTGCTGCTTCAGGCCAATTGCAAACTTTTTGTCTAGCATCGTAATGTAAATTACCATGGCAGATGACAACTTTTGGTGAATCACGGTCACAAACGAAATATGCATGACAGTCCTCAGGATGGGGAATATGATCACCATGAAGTCTGCCTTTGCATATCTTGAACAAGTATTGAATAAAAATTAAATAAATGTTTAATTAGAACAGAGATATACAGATACCCATTGTCCAACATTTGGTTCACCTATATTGGCACCTTCTATGTTATTTGATGGAATCGATATAAAAAATACGAGCATCCAATATTTCCACATATTATCAAATTCTCTTCTAAAACTTTTTCTAAAATTTTATTCCAATTTTTATTTATTAATTTAGAAATCGTCATAAAGTTTTAAATAAAACTGAAAATTTCTTGAAATTGAAGCTCTTCTTATACTTTAATATACACAACACACAATTGAATTAAACATAAATATCTTCACGTTGTTTTTTTTAATTTCTTTACCACCGATATTTTAAACTTATCTTTCATGATATCTAAAAAAAGTGTTTATATTTTGCGCGGACTTCAAAGAAAAGACAAGAACAAAAGAAAAATTTTCGCATTCGGCATGTTATCATTAAGATTGGTTTAGGTATGACATTGATTATTTTTCACATATACAATAGAGGTATTAATTTATTGTTTATTTAAAACTTTTCAATTCAACTTAAAACTCAAGCTATGGTTCTAAGCAACAAAAACTTCAGCCAGGTTCTTCTTATGACTGAATTTTGGTTATATGTATATCACAGACATCTTTATATAAGACTTGGCAATATACAATTTACTAATACAAACATACGGTGTATTAAAAATTGATCATCGTACTTTTTGTTAAGAAATGTTTGAAAAATGAAAACGATTAAATATAAAATGTATAAAAAATAACTTTATTTCATTTAAATAATAACAAAATTAAATTTCATGTTCTTGTAAACTAGAGTGAAAAATTACAGGTAACAAAACATTTTTTAGTTAAAAGAAAAATAGTAAATGCATAAAATAAATTATTTTCACTTTTTTTATTAGCTAGACAATTAATTTATATAAAAAATAAAACTTTTATTCTATTTTTCTTAAAACTACGTTAGTAATATTAAAGTTAAAGTTAAAGTAATATAAAGTAATACTTGTACATTAAAGTAGTTTATGTATATATACATAACATACATTCATATACGAACATATTTCGTACATATATGTACATACGTATACATTCTTAAAATGTAATAGGAAATATTTATATAATGCGTAATTCATATATAAACCCATATAGAATGACTGCACTTTTTGTATTAAAAAAAACAGTTTTTGGCTTCTTTAAGTAAACATTACTTTTCATTGTGTGTATAATAATATAAACATTTATAGTCGAACACATTTTTATATGTACATTCATACAGACGTTACTTTGGCTGAAATCACTAACTGTACGTAGAGATTTTACAACAAAAATATTTTTCATTGTGCATTATTTTTATCAGTTGTAGATTAAGTCATAAAGGTGTGTTTTTCTGTGAAATTTTTTGGGCGTTTCCTAAAAAGAAATTTAAAATTAATTTTTAAAATTTATTATTGATCCATCATAAAAAATAGTAGACTACCAGTAAACTTTATCCGTTCTTTTCTCTCTCATACTATTTTCTATCTACAATAGACCAAATAATTTATGAACCATATAGAGTCATTCTTTCCTCTTTTTCCTAATAGATTTAATTTTTCTTATTACCGTTATAACAAAATGTAAAAGAAACTTCTAATAAACTCTAATAAATTCTGTAAATCTGAAATTATTTTTAAGATTTACAGAATTTATTCGAATTAAGGGGTTACCTGCGTGAGTTAAGAAAAGAAATTATATTTTTTAATGGCATGGTATTTACCGTTAACTTTCTGCATTTATATAATTTTGAAAAAGCTTACAAATTCTTAAATATAAGATGCCAAAAATTTAAATTTTACAAAGGAGGCGATAACTTGAGAGCGAGTGGAGATGAAAAAAAAATTTCTTCTAACGAAATTAATAATTTAATAGTGTCTAAAAGCTGGTAAAATTTTAGATCCCTACAACCTAAGATTTAGAAGAAAAACGCTACTAAAAATTAGGAAAAAAGGCTTTTGAAGGTTCGCTGCAATAACTGGATAAAGAATGGCATTTTTATGGTTTTGGAGGGGGGCGGGTATCACTTTTAGGAGTATAATCAAATAAATTTCTAGTAAAGATCTATGTACATGAAAAATTTCCATCTTCAAGGATGTAGAAATTTTGTAAACAGACACACGGATAGACAGACGGACGGACGGGCAGAGTGAAACCAATAAGCGCTTTTTTTAAATTTTTTTTTTCAAAAGTGTTAAAAAGGAAACAACACAGTTTAACGTACGCACAGATATTTAAATATTGCGAAGCATTTGCTAAAATTGATACGTTACAAGTGTATCCATAGCAGAAAATCTGCAAGCATAAAATGTTTGTATACGTTACTCATTAATAAATATTTATATTCATATACATGTATTACTTTTGAAATAGTTGTACTTACGCTTCCAATGGATTGAAATTTAGAAATAATCTTAGAATTAACCCTGTCTCAAAATTATATAACTAAAAATACATATATCGTTTTCAGAAAATATTCTTTTTCAAAATGGAAACCACAAATCCTGTTTGCTTATTTAAGCTATTGATATTTTAAATCCAGTTTTTTTTTGAAAAAACGTCTAGGAAACCAGTCTGGTAAAGGTTCCATTAAATTTTTGTATTATATAATGTTTATACTTATTGTAAAGAAAATTCTATATAAACTCTCAGTTTTTAATGCAACCTTTCATTCTTATATTACATATACTTCATTTTTCAAATATTCATTTTGTAATTAAACTAGTAAGTCTATTCTGTTTACACATTTTCCGTAAAAAAAAATCCGAATTGAGAACTTATATCTTCTTCTCATCTTCTTCATTTTGTTTTCGGCAGAATTGCCTGAATTATCCAGTATTCTTTATTATGGGCTTTGCTGGCCTTGGAATGTTGAATTCCAGCGTTCGTGCCATCTTTCATGTGGGTTTCCTTGTGGTCATTTATTATCGGGCTATTTTGGGTAGTGGATTTTCGCTCATCCTATTCACATGGTCCTTCCAGTATCGCCGTGTGCATCTTGTCTATTGAACTGCGTCCTCAATTTTGCATTCTTCTCTTATATCTACACTTCCTTTAATATCTAAGAAAGTATACCAACAGATTTGTCTAAGTGTTTGCATTTCAGCCGTTCGCAACGTTTGCTTGGTCGTTGATGTATTTGCTTTTGTTTCAACCGCATATGTCATTACGGGACGCACACAAGTTTTGTTTTTGTAGACGTGTACTTTATTTTCTAATAGCATATATTTATTTTTAGGGAGGTTTCATTGGTTAGGAAGCGCACGGGCGGTATATCCAGAAGTGTCTGATCTAGAATAGACGGCTCCCTGGTCTGCGTCTGATCCCTGAGGGACGGCAGTTTTTGAAACCTGGCAGGAGGCATAAAATGTAAACATTAATCATTTGTGCAATGGAGAAAACAAAAGGATTTAATACCCCAGGTGATAATCCAACTAAGTTGGAGAGCCCACCCTATTCGGAGGTCGGCTCCACGGATTCTGAGGAGAGATTTGTATCATATACAAGATACAAATCTCAGAATCCATTTATACTATTTATTGCATTTGATTGATCCGTTCAGGAGGAACGTCAAAACCCGGCGCTCACCACCTACATCTGATGTACGGATTTTAGAAAAGAATAAAACTATAGAAGGCGGACTACCGGACATTCAAGCTCCACAGACCAATAAGGATATAAACATGAGTAAAGCTCAAGCCAAAAAAAGTGATGATCAGAATGCTAACATACATAAAAGTATTAGCCAACTAGAACAGCTCTGTGAGGCTTTGAAAACTCAGTTCTTCAACTGAGGACTGAAAATGAGAAGGTAAAGAAAGAGAAACATGAGTAAATTTAAAGCAATAAGTCTAATGATAGTAGTCATAAAGAAAAAGACCTTACAACACAAGCAAAGCAGGTGAGGTCAATCTTAGACGCCTACTCAACAGATGAGGAAGAACTCGCCAGAGAAACAGATTGGATCCTAAAGCAAAAGAGGTCCAGCAGAAAAAAAAAGCGGAATCATCTCCGGAAGTGGTCCAGGTGACGGTTAACGCTGAGAAAGCGGATATTCCTGATTCTAAAATTCGAGGCGATGTCACGAAAAGGCTAGCTCTAGTAGTCATAAGTAATGTGGTTGACTATAATCAAATAGAGTCAACATTAAAAAATAAGGACATCAATTAAAAGGTTAAAATGATGAACAACAATCCATTTAATCTCATTGTAAATTCCGAAATGGATTGCAGGAATCTTACCAGGGCTATTAATGGATCTGGATTAGAATGGCATACCTATGAAAACAAATAGACCAGACCAATAAAAGTCATGGTAAGAAATGTTCTCCCCAGGTGTAAACCGGAAGATATAAAAGAGGACTTAAGCTCTAGGGATTACAAGATCTTAGATGTAACCAATAAAATTAAAAAAATAAAAGAGAGTTGGTAAAATATTATGGTACCTCTACCGCTGTTTATGTTAACATTCTCAAATGACGAGAAAGTTAGGATAGAGGCACTTCGAAAGGATAGAACCATTCCGCAGTGTAAAAGGTGTCAAAGGTATGGTCATACACAAAAATTGAGAATATAGTGCATTGTGATCTGCAGCAGATGCAAGCCGAGGGAATGCAAATGACGGCGGTTCAGATCACTTTGACTAAGCAAAAATTTAGAGTGGCTGCATTGTATTGTCATCCAAGATTCAAAATAACGACAGAAATGTTTCAGAACGTTCTGGGCGACCTAGGCGACAGATTTATATTGGAGGGTGACTTTAACGCCAAGCACACTGATTGGGGTTCAAGGCATACTTCAACTAGAGGAAGAGAACTTAGGACAGCAATTGGCGGCACGGGGTGCCTTTTTCACTATACTGCGAAGCCAACGTTTTGGCCAAATGATATTAATAAGTGTCCAGATTTAATAAATTCCTTTATAACAAAGCGGATTGCGAAAAACTTCATTGAGGTACATGATAACTCTGATCTGAACCCAATCATTAGGTGGTTATTCTTAAACTTAACGAAAATATTGTAATGAAAAGAGCGAAATCCCTGCTGGCATATGGAACTACAGATTGGTCAAGATTTCGTTTGGAGATTGAACGACAAATGGATCTAAGGAAAAGAATAAGAACAACCCAGCTGATTGATGAGGAGACCGAAAATTTTACTAAAATTTTTCAAAATGCGGCATGAAGTAGTTTGAAAATTAGTGCT